CACCTTCATCCCGATCTAGGGGAGGGACAAGTTGGTGTGGTCCCTTGCCCCCTCTGGGGATTTCAACATCACTTCCTTCTACAAAAGCCTCATCCAAACCCCTACTTCCCCCCCCAATTCTACTTTGACCCTTGCACTAGTTTGGAAGACCATTGCTCCCCCAAAGGTGCAAACCTTTAATTGGATTGCAAGATCAAACAGGGCACTCACAGTGGATCAACTTCAAAGGAAAGGTATCCCTATTCCCAATAGGTGTGCCATGTGTTTGAACCATGAGGAATCCAATAATCACATCTTCCTACACTGTAACATGGCCCATGAGATTTGGAGTCTACTCCTTCAACACTTTCGGGTGCTTTCGGTCTTACCCACGTCGTTAAAAGATCTGTTGGTGTTAAATTTGGCTGCGCATTGGCCGAAGGCAGGTAGAATCCTTTGGAAAGCTACTGTGGCAGCAACAATTTGGACCATTTGGAATGAAAGAAACAGCCGTATTTTTCGGGGAGAGTCCACCCTTGCCCCTCTGTTATTCTTGAAAGTTACCTCCTTGGTAACATTCTGGGCGGCTAATCACCCCTGGTTCAAAGACATTCCTAGGGACTCATTCTGCCGGAATTGGGAGCAGATTTTATTCCATAACCCGAAGAAAACCAAAGTTAATGTTGTTTGGACAGCTCCTCTCCAAGGAACTATCAAACTTAATTTTGACGGATGCTCTTTAGGCAATCCTGGGCACGCGGGGGTTGGAGGGGTCTTTAGAGACCACCTTCAAAATGTCCTCTTCTCTTTCTCTAAATACATTGGGGTCCATGATTCACAGTTCGCAAAATCTATGGCTCTCCTTAGAGGCATTCAAAGCTTCGATCGGTCTTGGGGACAGTTTCTCACATCGAGGGTGATGCCAAGAACATTATTTCTTGGGCTTCTAAGACAGCTCCTTCCCCGTGGTACCTCTTACCCATTATGATGAAATCGATTACCTCTGCAAGGATACGCCAATCTTATGGACGCATATCTCAAGGACGTCGAACGGGTTCGCCGATCTACTAGACAAGGACGGAGCCAGAGCCTACGCTGAAGATTAGTGTTGTTTTGGTCTTTTTGTGGAGCTCAAAGGGTTTGTGCTTTTTATTTGATTCTCTTCCTCCCCCCCTTTGTATCTTTTTTGTACACTTATACTTTACTTTGTAAGGGGAAATCTTATAACCTCATTTTGATTACGGTCTGTTGACCCATTTTTTACTAGGAGTCCAACTTTTTAGGCACCCTTGGATTGCCTTCTTCTCTTTGTATCTATCTCTCTTTTTCAATACAAATGTTAACAGTTATCAAAAAAAAAAAAATCATTCCCCCTGAAACTAAAGTATATATGACTCCCATTTCCAACTTGGAACAAATTGTTTGAAACAGATTACATACAAGGGCTTTGGTGAAGATGTTTCCCAACTATCCTAAGATTTCACATATGGAGTAGACACCAGCTTACAAGTAACCTTTGCTCGAATAAAGTGACAATTTCCTTCAATATGTTTAGTTCTCTTGTGAAACACTGGATTGTTAGCAGTATAAGTTACAATACTATTGTCACAATACATCTTCATGGCGTTAGCAATAGTAGGCCTCATCTCCAATATCAGTGAGTGTTATACTCGCTCTTTTCTTCATCAAAAAAAAATATCAGTGTCTTCAACAACATTAGTTCACATGTAGTATATCCCATTGCTCGATATCAACATGTCCACTAGATATATCCGCACTATTTTGTTTGTTACTTCTCCACATAGCCACATTTCCACTAGTAAATGTATAATAACATGTGGTAGACCACTTGCCAAATGGAGAACCAGCATCTGAGTAACTCTCAATGGCTTAATGATTTTTTGACTTGTTAATTCGACCTCTACTTGGAGCTCCCTTCAAATACCTCAAAATTCTATGAATAGCATCCAGTGAGGAATCCATGGAGAGAGCATAAACTGACTCACTACACTTGCTACAAAAGCAATTTCAAGCCTAGTGATGGTCAAATACCAGTCTTCTATACGTTCTTAGATCCTCAGACAACTCCCTCTTATCTATCAATAATTTTGTATTTGAATCCATTAGGGTATCAACTGGTTTAGCACCGAACATTCTAGTCTCTGTCAACAAATCAATCATGTACTTTCTTTGAGACAAGTTAATGCCATGCTTTGATCTGGCTATTTCAATTCCTAGAAAATACCGATGGCCCAAATTCTGTCTGAATATATTGTTTTAGGTGCCTCTTCAAATGACTTATTCCTTCTTAATCATAACCTGTAATGACAATATTCTCAACATATACAATTGAGACAATTTCTTGAAGTCATATTTCCAAATAAACACCGAAAGATCTGCATGGTCACATGGAAATTTATATGCCACAACAGTTCCACTAAATTTTTAAAACCATGCGCATGGGGACTGTTTCAGACTGTAAGGAATGGAACTTGTGCCCTCACTTGTCTGAAACATTGCTCTACGACCAAAATCATTATGCATATACAATTAAAAGGGCACACACACATATAGAATGTGTTGGATACATTCTAAAAAAGTGATGATGTCATTAAACATGTATGGTAGATTGTCGATGACGTGTATGCGCATGTCGACATGAGCCTAAGTGCCGATACGTGTCAACACATGATACCAAACAGATTTCGGAGTGTCCATGTAACGCTGCCCCCCTCTCTCCCTCCCTGCTTCCAAGAATCTGAAGCATCACTATGAAAAATCTTCTTACCCTTCCATAACACAAGCGGAGCCTGTTTATCACCCACACAACCGTTGCAATGTGGGCAATGGACCTTAGAGATGCATCTGATGAGGATAGTCTTGGGCTGTTTTCACCTATCACATTAAGTACTCCGCAACTTTCAATTCAATTTTCTCATTAAATCCAATGTTTTCAATATCAAAATCAGGTATTAAAAAATCATCATCCATGACTTTGTCTCCCCTCTTTTTACTTCCAAAATTTTGTTCTAGATGTAGCAACCATGGAGACGTAAATCAAAAGAAACTTATAGGATTTTTAGAAAGAGATATTGATGGTATGATGAAAGATGAAGAGAGAATTTAGGTGGATCTATACTGGGGGGGGGACTTGTGACAATGAAAAGATCGTGTATGAGAGAGAGAGAGAGAGAGAGAGAGAGAGAGA